CCCCGGCCACAGGCGGAAGCACTAACACCGGGATATAGGTTTATGAGCTCTAATATATCTCAACACAATCATACTCACTACTATCATTATCATCAAAGTATACTTATCTGAATCTCACCTGAGCATCTGCAGCATCATTTGGCACTTCAAAGCATTCACAATAATTAGATTCAGGTAATATACATATAAATATGCCATAATGCAATCTAAACCCAAACATTTCATGATATTCACAAAATATATAATACGGCGTAAAATGTACAATCAATAACACCCTGCTCCCAAACTTTTTACTTTTGAGAGTAATCATCAGTGATAAGGCCAATTAGACACTAGTTAAAATTAACTATAATTACTTATCTTTCCTTACTTCAATTTCTTGATTCTTCACACATTGATTTATGATCAACATTTAATCACCCAATCATAAAGCTAAAGCTCACACTTCCCACCAATGTCCCTCACATTGCTCAATTCACAAAACAAGGCTATTGTCTCGATTATTTAATCTCATTTATTATATGGCTGCATCTAACGTCTTGTTAGACTGCTTACGTACCCTAAACAGGGATCAAGCCATTCGTAGTTCGCAATGATTAATTGTAGGTAACAAGCATAGATCACTTTAGAAGTGTTTGTGGAACTATCAATTATATGCCTATGAAAGAAAAAAACCCACGCACTTGGAGTCCATGCTATGATTATCTTGCACGCACATCGAGACATCACGATCTATCGTTGCCTGTGACCAATTATCAAATCACGTCTCAAAGTTCTTACCGATAGAATACATAATTTACATAAAACATATCTTCAAGGACCTTCAAGAATAATTTGAGACTCATTGACCAAAAGTCAACCGTCGATCTTTGATCGACGGTAGGGTCTACAACCCTATATAATTCGATTCGGAAGATTTTCATATCAAATTTCCAACCCGTAACTTCCAAATATCCACATTATGCTTCTAGACTAACATACTAAAATTTTATTACAATCCAGCGGTTGGATCCTCGCCAATTCCCAAAACTGATTAGCGGTTAACGTTTTATTTTATGAACTTACAAATCCAATTCGGAAAGATCTGTACGTCGGATTCTCAATCTGTAAGTTCCTACATTCTTCAAATATTATGTATTACAATGTAATAAAGTTTGGTGACGATCCAACGGTTGGATCGTTGATTCACATAAATACCTATTAACGTATTGTAGAGAATTTAGGTTCCAACGATCAACCTACGCCATTCAAATATCAAGACTAAATTCAAGACATTTAACATAGCCTAAAAATAGCATTGGCGGCCCACTGGCCATGCGCCGCCACACTCGCCGCTGTCGGTGGCGGTCGGCCGCCCCGACTCACCGGAAAATCCAACTATTTCCAAAAATTACCAAAATTTACAGAAATGAAGATCTCAAAGAGAGGAACAACTTTTATACCTACCACAAAGTTCAAAAGTGGACGGAAGATGGTCAATTTTTCCCACGAAGCCGGCAGGTGCCTAAAGCTTCCGGGTGTCGATTCGTCGTCTATGGTGGTCAAACGGGGTCAAGGTTGGTTGAGTTTTTCTCCTGGGAGGATGGGCTATAAAGCCCAAGTGGTGGCATCAGCCATCGCTTTGCCGATTTGCCGGAAAATAAAAAATGGTGGTCGGAGCACCATGAGAACCGTCAACTTTCATGGCCTTAAACCGCCACATACCGTGGTTAATCAAGGAGGTTCTTGGGTGGGTTTTGTAGAGGGGAATGAGAGCTTCAAGATGGTGGTGGTGGCGTCCAAAAATTCCACTGGATGTTAGCTGCCGCACGTGTAATCGTCCAATTGTGAATTCCACTATGATCCATCTATGATTTGGTTTTGTCTTTGTATTTCATGGGATTTGTTTCTTTTTATGTATTTATTTTTTGTCCAAAGTAAATGCAATGCTACTTAATTAATCAACTCGTAAAACATATTAGATAAATTAAATCATCCATCTCTAAATGTTGATAATCATTACATGACCCACATGGTCATTATGCACTTTTTTATTTTATATATAGTTCTATTGAAAGTAATGTTCAGAATACCGCATCACACGTATTTTTAACATAAACGGGTGCTTATTAGCTATACAAGTAGAGTTTTTAAACATTTTTCTTAGTTAAATGTTTGAGCTACACGTTAAGAATCTCTTTATCAGAAGAATTAGCTTTTGGTCTATTAACACTTACCTTAAGTATCCTGTTTGGTGTCGAATGAAAAGAAAGTGATGAGATTTATTTTTTTTTATTTTTTATTTTTTGTGTTTTGCAGTCTGCAAATTGGATAATGGTGCATAGAGCTATCATGGCCATTAAAGATGTGGGTGCAATGTTTTCTTCCTTGGATCCCGAGTACTATGACATTCTCATGAAGTAGTTATACCTTATGAATGCTATCCGATTTTGGCTTCGAGTATTTTACGTAATCTGTTGAATTGAAATTTGAAATCTATGTAGATAATGTACTTTGTTTTGCTAGAAGGTGGTTTTGTATAGATTTGTTGTCTGTATATAACACGAATCTCGTTAGCGGTTGGTAATAGTTGCATGATTCAATGTGCTTAAAACTGTTGGAAGTTCTTTAACCAAATATAGAGTACACATGAGTATACTAGAGTATTTTCAGTTAAACCGGTTGAAGATTTTCCCAAACGGAGAACCAAAGTATCTTGAATTATAGAAATGAACTTGAATTTGACTGGTTACGTAGGTCTGGCTCTTTCTTTGCGTGCATTATGTATCTTTATCCTTTTAGATGTTGATTATAGGCAAGTTACCAAGACTTGTGCTTTGTTAGGGTACAAACTACAAATAAAAAGTGGCCTTCACTATCCATTTCAGGCCTTAGAGAGATTTGTTTGAATCAAATATGGCTGTTGAGTATCTTATATTCCTGAAGGAATCTAATTTGTATGATTAGTGAATGGGATTTTGGGAATATAAAGAACAAGCAACAAGGTTCCCTTGTAAGTCTGGGACAGCATTGCATCCTTGCAAGGCCTAATCCTTATGGTCTTTCCGGGCACTTAACACACTACGTTGAGTTTGGCGTCTAGTGTGAAACAAATGGTTGCTTTCTTGGGCAATCAAAGTATTGGCTCCATGAATGTGTAGAAAGTAATTTATCAAAAGGCTTCAACGTAGAAACAGGGACGTATTTTATGTAGTATAGTTCATAATGAATATCACTATATGCGAAACATTTGTAAGTTTCTTCTTATTTCGTTTCTTATCCAAGATGTCAGATTACTGTCTTTGGAGCGTTTGTTATATGTATGGCTTTGGTGTAGTGTCATAGAAACAAGTATTCTACCCCAAAGTTTTAGAAAATGTTAGGTATACATATTTTTTTGTCTAAGTTTGTGATTTCGATTTCTTGATGTTTTGCTCGTTGGGTAGACGATTATGGAATGAGGATCTTTATAACCGTATCAAAACCATAACCGAATCATATTCACGGTTTTTTTCATATCCAAAATATTCGAGGGCCTCCGATCCGCACGATTTGTTCTTCTCCGACCCACCGGAGCTCCTCTTCGACCCTCTCGAGCTCGTCGAATAGCACTATGTGGTGTTACCCTAATTTTCATACCTAAATCTGTTCATTCGGACGGTTGTCCACGGTTATTGGATTTAATGTTTTGAATGTCATCCCCAGCTTAAACCCCTAAAACCCAAACCGTGCATTATGTAAATCTGGACAATCTAAGAAGTCACAGTCATCTAAGAACATTGATGGTGATGGTGATGGTGATGCGGATTGGTCACGAATTTCTTAGTTGCTGTCGAGGTACTCAGATCATAAGTTGGATATTCTGAAAAGAAGAATCATATTCTACCATCTAGATATGCTCTCGTTATATTGAAGCCTATCTATAAAACTGAAATATTGTTTAACATTGTTGTTCATGCCATACTTCGCCGATCCATTTGGAGTAGCAAGAAGAACTTTGGAATTTTGTTGTTTTATTGTTTAAACTTCTTGTTGGAAGAAGTGACACAGGACCGAGCACAATGGCGTTCCAGGATTCATATAGCCGACCCCACTTAGTGGGAAAAGGTTTTGTTGTTGTTGTTGTTGTTGTATTGTTTAAAATTCTTGTAAATGGTGGATTCAAGTACCTTACTATTATTGCTGTATTTCAATACCTTAGTGTTTAGTGGGAAAAGGTTTTGTTGTTGTTGTTGTTGTTGTATTGTTTAAAATTCTTGTAAATGGTGGATTCAAGTACCTTACTATTATTGCTGTATTTCAATACCTTAGTGTTTAACTTTTGTTATATTTCAATGCTTAGTTCTTATCAGTTAATAAAAGAGGCTATTATGTTATTAAGTTTGTCTCAACTGTTCAATATGAAATATACTAGCCGATAGCTTTCTGACCTTTAAATTCCATTAGGTACTAAATTAAATTAGTTTGTTATCTAAAGGGGCTGGCAGAGAACCATGAAATTCATTTGTACGTTATACTTGTAAAAATCTATGTTGCCGTATGTTTACCTTAAGTATAATCTCGGGTAGTTCTGTGTAAATTCTTTCATGCTCCGATAACTTCTCTTGCATGAATTTTAGGAATTTATTCTACTATGTTCAACTTTTCATCAGTATGTGCTTTTCCATGCGGGTTACTTGGTCTAACTAAGGCCTGTCACGTTGTATCTTGTAGAATGGCTATTTTCAGAAACAAATTGATAGACAAATGGCAGAGGAAGACGGAGGTGACCACAAGCGCTGCTGATATTAAAAGCGAGCCGCATGCCTTTAATCAGGTCTGGTTCTATAATTGAACTTGTAAACATGCCTTTCCCTATGACTAACTTGTGTCATGCTTTGCCAGATATCACTAGGAGTTCATTTTTCTTTTTCCAATTGCATAGTATTAGTAAACAAGTTGCTGCTTGTATAAAAGACCCAACCAGAATGGTTGGGCAGATGCAGATGTGGAAATTAGCAGTTGCTGTATTTGGCACTGTAAGACATTAACTCTTATATCTAAATTGAAAAACTGAAAATTTCAGAGTTCCCAAGGTCTCACGCGCACGCTCAGATACATTTGTGCTTCATATTTTTAACATCATAACAAGATTGGTTTTTATCATTTAGTAATTTAAACACAAGGAGGGAATCCAAAGATGTCTGTATCAAGTAAAATTACAAACTCATGGATTTCTTGTGGACTACTGTCGCTTCTTTTTCTGGGAGATAGAGGACCGAACTACTAGGGCAAGCGTGAAAAATAAGCCGGAAGCTGTGAGGAGCACCTTCCAGCCTCTGAGGCCGCAATTGCTACTGGCATCCCTCGTCCTTCCAATTGTGTAATCAGGTTCCTCCTCTTGCCCTTCTTCTTTGTCTGAAAAACATACAAATAACATAAAATTTATGTTTTTGAATTGAATACAGACGGACTTGGAAGTGTTTGGATGGAGTATAATTCATTGCAATACAATGACATAGCATACCTGTGTCTTCTTCATCAGTGTCCATGATAAGGTGATACAAAATACTCCACGCAAATTTCATAGTCTGTTCAACAGAGTCTTTTTGGTAACCAAGGAAGTATATTCCTGGTATATGCTCCCACATGGACAAATCTCCACCGATGACACATGGATAATTAGGATCTGATTTGGTGTTGTGTTGGGTACTTATCATTATATTATTCTGGTGTTCTTGCACAAGCTCGACACCAAACTCCTTTATCTGAATCAACTCGGCCACTACAGAAACCACCACTTGATCTCCACATTGTAATATTGTTTTGTTCTCCATCTTCCAATGGCTCAACCATATCATATCTTCTCCATCTCCTGGAATTCCATAGAAATCTGGGCGATAGATCCACTTCAGACCCTTGCTCTTGTTACACACTTTAGTCAGTATTGTAAAAAAAAGATCACAATTCTTTGCATAGGTAGCAAAGATGTTCAAGCCTCGAATTCTGTGACTAGCAGGTAGTAAAGGGACCATAAATAATATAGAGGACTTGGTACTTTTATAACTGAACCGCCCTGGAACCTCATTCCCAGCAAAAAATGTGCTGAATATACCATATTGATACAGTCCCTATGTATTTGCCATAATCATGACAACATTACTCAGTCATTTCTTTCCCATTATATATTTAAGACTTATGAGAGAGAGAAAGAGAGGCGCACCTGGACGGGGACCTCTTTTGGACCGTTGTTTGCGATTGGATAACACATTTGAACAGCTGGCATGGATTCCAAGTTGCACAAGCCCAAAAGTTTGATTATTTCCACATCAACTCTATCAATAGGCTCCATCTTGTAATCATAGTCCCACTCAACTAGATTGTAGTTGTCACGCATCAATTACATTTTGGACCGTCGCTCATGGGAAAGATATTTTATTTTTCTTAATGATATGCATCCGACTATATCTGTCGTTTGGTGTACTTTCGGCAACCCCACAAGCGATTCGAGCCTATTACAATCCTGGAAAGATAGATGATCGAGCCTTCTCAAACCTTTGATGAAAACTGGCAGACTGCAAATTGGATTCTCATCTAAATGTAGGCTTCGCAAGTAGGATAGATTACTTAAATTCGTAGGAAAGACATCGTCAGAAAGATTGCACCCCTTCAGACTTAACTTTACCAAAGAGCATGGAAAAGAACTCAAGATAGTTGAACTTCTTTCTGGCCTTAATGGAATTCCATCTGTTGCAAGAACCTCTAAAGACTCCATCTCCTTCATCATCTCCACTGGAAACTCACCAAGATTTGAGCAACCAGATAAAATGAGTGTTTCAAGTGATTTAAGCATGCACATGTTCTTCGGAAGCATCCTAAGATTCTTGCAATCTTTCATATTCAAGTACACGAGTCTCTCCAGGTTTCCAATGGATTCATGAACATCGATCAGGCTGGTGCAATCCACAAGAATCAATTCCTCTAGTTTGGGGCAAAGTGAGAAGTCAATGATTTCACTAAGGGCATGGGAATGGCTGACGTCAAGGATCTTCAATGATGGAAGAAACTGTGTAAAATAAAAACAAAGAAAGAAAAAAAAAATGTGTAGGGGTTAATTTTAACAAATGCAACTGGTCAAAAAAAAAAAAAAAAAAAAAAAACTGAATGAAATGCGTGGAGTAACATACTTTTGTTCCTTTCCAGACTTGTCTCAAGCTACTGTATTGCATTTCAAGAACAATTAGACACCCCAAAGGAAACTCAATAGGTATAGAATCCAAAGGAAATTGAAGCCAACACAACCATCTTAATCCTGTAGGCAAATCTGCATAACATCCATCTAGTTGTACATGACCAAGATGTAGTAGTTGTAATTTGCTCATCCTTTCAAATGCATTGGTTTCCAAGATTGTCTCATTTGTGTTTATTGGACTGTTTGCAGGATGCATACGCATATTCAGGACAAGACCTTGGATTTTTTTTGTACCCTAAAGGAAAAAAACGGAAACATTAGTATGGATAATTTTCACAATAAGAAATACATATATAGACATAAAATGCATGTTTCTTACATTCTTTTCCCTCAGTACTTCGAAAGAATCCTTATAGCGCCATAATCTACTACGTTTTCCAGGCTCTTCTGATTCATGGCGAACAATTTCTCTTCCCATGTCACGGATCATGTCATGCATTTGCACTTTGTTGCATCCATCAATTGTCACCAAGCATCTATCAATGAGATTTTGAATGCCAACAATTGTATAGAAATCACATCCATCGAGTATTCTAACAATGTGGCTTTTGTTCTTTCCTATTAGGAAACAGGCAATGTGGAGGAATAATTTCCGATCATGGTCATCTTGTAAACTGTCATAGCTTATTCTTAGTTTATTCATGATTTCACCATTAGGGATAACTTTTAGCTTCTCCAATGTACTTTCCCATACATCTGTACTTTCCCCAGATAAAGAAGAACCCAAAACTTTTAGAGCTAATGGAAGTCCGTCGCAATAGTGTACAACCTTTTTTGAATATTCCATGTAACCTCTAAGGGGATGGTCTTGGCGAAAAGCATGCCAACTGAAAAGCTCTAATGACTCATCGTAATACAAAGTTCCAACTTTGTGCACCTTTGTAACTTGATGTGCCTTTAGCAACCTTTCACGCCTGGTTGTTATAAGTATCTTACTTCCCGGATAAAACTGATCTTTCATCTTTAGTACTGCATCTAATTGGTCCATATGGTCCACATCATCAAGAACAAGAAGAACTCTTCTAGAGCTTATGACTCTTTCAATCTTATTTAGTCCCTCACCAACACCATGTATTTTCACTTCTTTGCTGTTCGAAAGATCATAAAGAAGTTGCATTTGTATTTGAACTAAGCCATTTGGTTGATCTGCTGTTTTATTGATATTTTCAATGAAACTACTTCTTTCAAAGCTTCTAAAGTTTGAATTGTAAACATGTTTTGCAATTGTTGTCTTCCCCATTCCAGGCATCCCATAAACAAGAAGTATACCAACATCAGTTGATCTGTCTTGTAACCATAAATTGATGTCTTTGACTCGAGAATGGATTCCAATCAATTTTGGTTCAACACTCAATGGCACGCGACTTAACTTATCTTCAATCACTTTAACAATTTTTTCAATAAACCTTGACTCGTACCTAAGAATTTGCAAACAAAATGAAAGATAAATCAAACATGTCATGTGCAATAAACCATCTTAATTGTTAGTTTTGCTAAATTTGTTTCTTTTGGTTTGTAAATTTTTCTACATGATGTGACTGTTAAATATTTTTGAAGTTTCACATTATCGTATGTTAAAGAAAAAAAGGCAAGTTTATGCAGTGTAATATAGTTATTGGAGTTCTAATCAAGTACTTTTGTAAGTATAACATGAGTTAAATTGGAATTAATGTGAGCTTCAGCAGAAGGTTGTAAATGTTGGGATGTGACATCATGTCTCACCGAAGGGATTTGGATCCTCTCTAGAGCCAATGAAGAGGATCCTCCTGACCAACCATCGTGAATCGTTGGATGAAAATCCAACGGCTATAATTATTATAACTTTAAAGGAATTTCCTGTTTGTAGCCGTGAGATTTTCATCCAACGGCCCACGATGATTGGTCAGGAAGATCCACTCCATTGGCTCAGAAGAGGATCCAAATCCTCACCGAAGTATTGGATGAATAAATAATGATTTAAATATATACTTTGTAATGGGGAGTGGGTCGGATCAGGTGATATTACTTGATAATATTGTACGATTCAGAATTGGGTCAAATTACCTGTTTACTTTAATCGGTGTCAACACATGACACCCAATTAAAATACCAAGTATGTCAAGAAAATGACACGAACACAAAAAATACGAGACGGATGCTAAGTCTAGTACCTACAAATCATATTATCAAATTGACTGAAGAAAGAGAAGAGAAACGGAGAAAATGAAAGTTACCCATCAGCTAAGAACATGCCTGCTAGATTTGCAACCTCTGCAAGTGCCTCTCTCCATCTCTTCACCTTTTTCGACGACTGAGTTCTTTGGTGTTGAGCAAATGCTTTTTCAATACTTCCCGTCTGCTTCCTCAAGTGGGACGGATCGACATCGTAGAAGACTGGTAAAACTACATGATCAATTGAAGTCCTCTTGTGTTCAAGGATCACCACAAGCTCATCGAGGCACCATCTGGATGATGCGTAATCTTTCGAAAACACGACAACAGAAGTTCGTGACAGCTGGATCGCTTTCTGCAGTCCTGGCTTTATATCTTCTCCTCTCTCAAGTTCATTGTCGTCTCGGAACGTGAGAAATCCTGCGTTGTTCAAGGCTGTGTAGAGGTGGTCGGTAAAAGTCTTGCGAGTGTCTTCGCCTCTGAAGCTCAAGAACACGTCGTAGCGATAACCCCGAAAAGTGTTGGAATCAGAGGAGGTTCCTTGAGATGTTCTCACAAGAGCCATTGATGCGGATCGATGGACAAACAGTCTTTGCTAGGTGCATTGCAAATGTCTCTGTGCAGGGGAAATATTTGATAGGGTCATTCCTATCCACTTCCAGGAATGGCCACAAGCATTGACCCAAAAAGCGTTTCTTTAAGTCATGGTCGGCCACTAGTGGTGGAGATGAAAAGAAAAAATAAAGAGTACTTCTTGTTTTATATGTGATTTTATAAATTACAATTTATATCGATGGTTGCTTGCTTTTTTGCGATAAAATGCACTTCTAATTGCATTCAGTTTTTTTGTGATAAAATACAACACACTTTGATAGTTGTTCTATACTGATTTCTCGTCCTTGAAATGTTGGAGCCATTTCTACCAATCGTCAACCCACCAACTAGTAATTTACGATTTATAACACGGATTATGGTCCATCAACCCTTTAAATACCAAGTTTTTTGTTTCTTGTGTACGGCAGCCGGCAGGTATATGGAAGCTAATTGGATTTAGTCCATGTCCTACACAACCAAGCATGTTACGTATCGTTTAAGGCAAAAACATAAAACATAAATTCAATGAAGATTCCTTTGAATTCTTTTGCCGGCCACTAAAACCAAATCTAACTTGGGCTAAATGCTATTTTTTAGGTTTTACTCCTCCCAAACTCAACCTAATTCATGCTAAATGTGTAGACTAAATGCTAAAAAACTAAAAAAAAGCCAGATTTAGCCCAGAATTAGTGGGGCTGGGCCATTATATATGTGTATTTTATTTAGTTTTATATTTATAAATTCATTAAATTCAACGGTTAAGATCTAATTTGATGAAATTCAACAGTAAAAAAAAAAAAAATTAACGGTCCAAATTTAAATCTAACGATTAAAGTAATTAAAAAAAAATCTCTTATGTGTTTCATATTTTTTTTCATAATGTTTAACGAGTTTCATGGTGTCGGTTTGCGATTTTTCAATATTTGTCAGAATCTAAATATTTTTAAGTTAAAATGTTAATTATGATAGTTTACATAATTTTTTCTTTTAAAAAAGTTACTTTAAGAAGAAAAAAAATTAACCTAAATTCATTACTTTAAGACGAGTGTTGGAATTAGAGGATGTTCCTTGAGTTGTTCTCACAAGAGCCATTGATGAGGTTCGGTGGACAAACAAAAAACCTGGTCTTTGTTAGGTGCAATGCAAATGTCTGTGTGCAGGGTAGATATTTAATTAGGTCATTCTTATCTACTTCCGGGAAAATTAACAAACAATTATAAAATGGGTCGTTCCAATGCACTGACCCAAAAAGTGTTTCTTTAAGTCATGGTCGGCCACTAGTTGTAGAGATGAAAGGAAAAAGAAAATTTTACTTCTTGTGTTACATGTGATTTTCTAAATCACGATTATTTTGATCGTTGCTCACCTTTTTGTGATAAAATGCACTTCTAGTTGCACAAAGATTTTTTATGATAAAATACAACACACTTTGATCGTTGTTCCATATTTATTTCTCATCCTTGAATTGTTGGAACCATTTCTACCAATCAACCCATCAACTAGTGTTTCCAATATCACCATCTCGAAGGTTTATATATTCAACTACAAGATTGATTGTCCTAAAGATGATGAGGAAATTAGACAAAAATTAAAACTTGATAGAACCGTATAATAATGTGGCACTTTTAATGTTCAGGTAGTTTCATAAGGAAAGTTTAGAAAAACTTGAATCTAGGTACATGTATGGTTGAACTTAAAGTGGTTGATTGAATTGTTATGTAGTTATAGATTTGTCATATGGTTACGAGATTTGGCAAGTTGTGTCTACGTTCACAGGATAAGAATATTGATTTCTCATTATACGAAATACAATTTACAATGTAAGAAACAGGGGAAGTTGGGAGCATTTTGCTCTTTTCCGTTAGTAGACATAATGATGAAGACGATTTTCCTTTTTTATTTTTTGTTTTTATGCTTTTCCCTCTCTTCCTCTACTCTCCTAAGCTTCCTTCCCCTTTTCCCTTCTTTTCTGCTTTTCTCTATTCTCCAAAATTTCCTCTCATTTTCCTCCTTCCTTTTCTACTTTTCCCTTTGTCTTTTCTGCTTTTCTTCTTTTCCCTTCTTTTCTGCTTTTCTTCTTTTCCCTTCTCCTTTTCTCTATTCTCCGAAATTTCCTCTCATTTTTCTCCTCCCTTTTCTACTTTTCCCTTTTCCTTTTCTCCTTTTCTTCTTTTCCTTCTCTCTACCCTCCGGAGTTTCCTTCTCATTTTCCCCTCTCCTTTGACGTCATTATATTTGGGTTGAGATGTGGACCTGTTATTGATGAACAGACAACCAAGGCAATGCTTGTTTTGGTCAAGCAATTGGAAAGATGTCTTTTGCTTAGGGAAGTGATGGCCACTAGTGGTAAGTGACGAGGGAATTGGATCCTCTCCTGAGTGAGCCTCGTGACCAACACACAAGGGTTGTTGAATTTTGATCCAACGACTACAAACAGGGAACGTTTTAAAAGTTGTAATAATTATAGCTGTTGGATTTAAATCCAACGGCCTTTGTGTGTTGGTTAGAAGGTTCCTGAGCCCAAGCTCAGGAGAGGATACAATTCCAATGACGAGAGAGGGACCCCGTGCAATGTTTTTCTTGATTATTCATTAATTAAAAGTGGATGAATAATGTCATTTAATACTACAGTCTAATAGTATTCATGTTCACTTGTAAGTGAGAGGTCTTAAGTTTGATTTTCACTAAATGCGAATTTGAACCATATTATTGCTAGCCCATTGTGAGGCTTAGCCCATTCCCTTTCCTTAGTGTAACTGTGTAAATAATATCGTTTGTTCAAAAAAAAAAAAAACAGTATATGAATAATAGCAACTTGGTCTACTTTCATATTTCATTTCAACGTTGGGAAAGGTCCAACTCTGTGTCCTGTTACTTTTGTTGATTATTTGTTACTTTATATTATAAGAGATTCTTTCAGATAACCAAATTTTACTTTTAGAGGCGTCATTACTCAATCAATATTTACCACGATTTCAAAACATACTTTACCCTTCCAATAGACGATTGCCACATTATGGGTTTGTAAGATAAAGACATATCTCCCCATCCGGTTGATAAGGATGGTGGAAATAAAGGATATGGCCATACATGACATCCAAAATGTTGAAAAACACTTTCATTTTTTTAATGTCTCGTACAGATTATATTTTATTATTAGGATAAATGAGAGCTTTACAAATTAAACAATGCACTGAATAATATAGTTGCAAAGTCCTCTGTCGTGGACTCTATATGTTGATGAATGTCTAATGTAGAGTTCACTACAAGAAAATAAGTGGAAGTTTATCCTACACATTTGCAATTAAAAAGACAAATAACATGTGTACACATGATGTAGGATTTAACGAGGTCAAACTCACCATTGAGAAAATCTTCAGACTCTTAAGTCAAAACAAACATTAAGAAAAATGAGTATATAAAGACTTACAAAACTCATCAACTAGACCCACATACTAGTACACAATTTTTTCACTACGCTTTGCTACCCGATCTCTCTTCAGCCTTCAAGTGGAAGTGGCATGACACTAATGCAGTCGTTAATCACTGTCTCCTCTAACTTTGCAAGATACTAACGCGATCATGCAAAATGTAATAATTTTTTAAAATCAACCAATTACGAAAATCACAAGGCACATTTTCATAATTAATTTCCAATTGAAACACAATGAAAAATCAGTGATTAAAAACTAAAATATTCTCTTTGAAAACACATGGACACAAAATTGATTTTTCTCAAATAAAAACTCTATGCCAACTCACTTTAAAACCTAGAGCATGCAACATATAAGTTTTGAATAAACAGTGAAGAAAATATAACTTTCTCTTTCTAAATGCAGTACTGCCGACTACCATGTACCGTATATGAAAGCTGCTATATGAATTCTGCTTACAATATAAATCTCAGCAGCTACAGAAAACCACTCATGCTCAGCGACAACAATAACCAAAACCACACAAACTTTTAATGCATGCAGCACCCAAAACTGAAAACCATATTCTAATGCACTCGGTGGCGGTGTGCTAATGCATATGCATCGACGACCATACCTGAGTGGACGTCTCTAAAACGCTTGGTAATTTTGTGATCGAGAGCACAAGAGACAAAATTAAACTAAAATCAGCCTAACCCTGAACAAGCAAAGCCCCGAGTAGACGAACACGGATGCGCTGCAACTCATCCACTTCCTTCTTAAGACTTTCGTTGATCTTCAACACACCTTGGAGTTTCAACACTTGGGGTTCAAGCTTATCAGCGATCTTCTGGAAGTGAATTACTTGATTATAAGCATCAATCAACTCTTCATCCCTTAGGAATAATTGCCATGTTAATGGCAAGATATTATTTCACATAATATCTTGCAATTGTTCTCCAATTACCATCATATATGGCTGGCCACTCTCCACCTAAAGTGCTGGACACCCTCCTATAAATACCCCTCGCATCCCACTAAAATACTAAGTCATTTGCTACCCACGAACTCCTAAATACATTCATTTCCGAATTTTAACTTTGGCATCGGAGATTCTTCGGCCAAAATCCCTCTCATTCATCATGAGCGCAAGAGACATTTGACCTTAATCTTATGCATTATTATTTTACAAGTGCATTTTTGTTAAAGTAAGAAACGGTGAAAATTTGCTTTCATATCAATCTTCGCTCAAGTTTTGTCAGAAAGTTACATATAAAGCTAGGAACTTTAAGAAAATCTCAATTTTAACAAAAATTGATTGGAATTGAACACAACCGATCTTTCTCTTTATTGTGCATTGAGTCGTCGACGTGCCCATCGGCCTCTCCTCCTTTTCCTGTTTGTCCATTACCAACCTTCAACATCACAATTGTCTGAATTTGAACTGAAAAAATTAATTCCACCACATGAGTATTCTTAAATCTTTCAGATTATTTTGAGACATCTCTCTACAATCACCTGAATTATCTGTGCAACTCCATTTAAAATAATGAATTTT